ACAACTCACAACCGGCTATTGAGTCCACCAGTTGGTCTATTCGAGGGAGAGGGAAGTGATCCTTGGGACACGCCTTGTTGAGGTCGGTGAAATTGACACACATTCTCCATTTCCCGTTGGCCTTCTGCACCATGACTGGGTTGGCTAGCCACTCTGGATGGAGTACCTCTATGATGAAACCAGCTTTGAGAAGCTTGTCAAGCTCTTCTCGTATAGCTTGTTTTCGGTTTGGTGCAAATCTCCGCAGCTTTTGCTTTACTGGCTTGGCATCGGGTCGCACCATGAGTTTCTGCTCAATCACCTCCCTGGGTACTCCCGTCATGTCGGACGGCTGCCAAGCGAACACGTCAGCATTGTCTCGGAGAAAGGTGATAAGCGTGAGTTCCTATTTCTCGTTTAGTAATGCCCCGATCTTGACGGTCTTGTCGGGGTTGGCACTGGAGAGTGGACAATCTTGACTGCGCCATCCGGCTTCGGCGTCTTGGTTGTTTTGCTCACTTTCTTGGGTGGCTCAGCTGTGGCAGGAGGGCTGGGCGTGTGCTCGACCATGTCGAGGCTCCGCTTATCGCATTGCACTTCCAGCTTAGCATTCCCTTGAATAGTGATTGTTCCCTTCGGTCCCGACATCTTGAGCACTTGATACGCGTAGTGAGATGCGGCCATGAACTTCGCGAGTGCAGTTCTCCCAATGATGGCATTGTATGCTGTATCTAATTCAGCGACATCAAAGGTGATTTGCTCAGTTCGGAAGTTATTTGCTTGGCCGAAAGTCACAGGCAACGTAATTTTGCCCAATGGTTTAGACGATGACTGAGGAGTGATTCCATGGAAGGGTTGATCGGTGGGAGTCAACTCGCTTCGTGGAATCCCCATCGCGTCCAATGTGCTGGCGAAGAGAAGTTTGATTGAGCTGCCGCCGTCGATCAGAACTCGCGTGACCTTGATATTCCGAATAGTGGGTTCAACCACGATCGGATATTGCCCTGGGATGACAGCGGTCTTGGGGTGGTCCTCTTCAGAGAATTCTATCTTCTGTTCAGACCACTTCATCTTGGGCACAGCTCCCTGCCACGTCGAACAGACTTCATGTTCCACTTTCTTGTATTCTCGCTTTGAGGAGTATGCCGTGGAACCTCCGAAGATGTGCGAGACATGGAGATCGGAGTCTGGGTATGCTGAGTCCGATTCTTGAGTAGCCGCCTCAGCGTCCTTCTCGACCATGCGTACTCGTTTGCCTTTTTCCAATGCCATGTGTTTTGCGTGTGACTTTTTGAAAACAAGGCAATCTTCTGGAGAGTGTCTGTCCGACTTGTGTATCGGGCACCATGTTTTCTTCGTGTCGCTGCCTTGTGGGTCTGGGCGCTTCGGAGGGTCCGCGTATTCTGTTGCGAGAACTTCCGCTTGAGCTTTCCTTTTCCCACTTTTGCGATTTTTCTTCTTGCTTGTCTCAGGTGCGTCCTTGGCTGATTCCTTCTCTCCTCTGATCTTCGGTTTGTCGTTCTTGCGTCTCAGTGCGTCGTCCGCATGAGCGCATCGATCGACAATTTCGAATAATCTCCGAGTAGTCGTGACGCGTCTCGTTGCCAACTCCTGGGTAGTATATCGATCTCTGACACTGGACTTGAAGGTGCGGATTACAGAAGCGTCGGTGATTTCGGGGATTGTATTTCTGCACTCATTAAAGTGCCGAACATAATCCCTCAAGGATTCACCCGGGTTCTGTGTCAACGCATGTAGGTCGTCTTCGATCGCGTGGCGCTTGTAAGTTCCTTGGAAGTTGGCGACAAACTGCTGCCATAGGTCTGCCCACGAAGAAATCGAGTAGGGCGGGAGATGCATCAGCCATGAACGTGCAGAGCCTTTCAATGCAGTTGGCAAATAATTCGAGAACGCGTTGTCGTCCGCTCCGGCCGCGTAGAGTACCGTCCTGAAGGAATTATTCTGGGTCGGTACTCCCATCGTACTTCTCTATTGCTCCTGGTCGGAATCTATCAGGCCATCGGACATCACGCAGCGAACGACTGAAAGCTCTACACCCAGCGCTGGGGGCGGTGGGTTGTTGACGATCGTATGTCCTTCGTGGATGTCTATCTGATGATGAGGATGAGGAAGATGACGACGATGATGATGAGTCACTTGGTTCCGGTGTACGATTACGAGGACGTCGGCCGGGTTCTCGAGAATCCTGTCGTCGTCTCTCGTTGTTGTCCCGGCGCCGATCTCCATCGTCGTCATCATTATGGCGGCGTCCTCGACCAGTATCGCCCAGCATCCACCGTTCGCGATCGTCGTGATCGTGGCGGTTGTGGCGGTTATCACGGTCTCGGTCTTCGCTTGAACGGCCTCCTCGTTCTTCGTCATCGTGACGTCGTGAAGAGACGCGATGTCGGGAACGGTTCTCGTTGTCTCGCGTGCGTCGCGCTTCTCGGCGGCCATTCAGGTGATCGCGGAGATCGCCGGTGCCGCGAGGCGGAGGGGTGGCTCGATGAGGTGATTCCTACTGTTCAGGGTTTTCGCCATTAGCACCGCCAGTTGGTGGCTGTTCTGGGTGCGCTGCAGCAGCGGCCTCTTCGAACGCGTTGCTGAGGTTGGTCACTGATTCCCGTAGTCGTTCTGTCTACCGTGCGAGGTCATCGTTCAGAACGGGATCGTAAGGGGTTTCCCTCAGTATTGCGTTGACGGTACTGATGTGTTGGGCTGGTGTAGTCACTTAATTTTCGACTTCCGCATTAGCGCGCGCTGACGTGCTGGTCCCGTCGATAGCCAATACCTCGTGTGGCGTACTTGTTGACGATGAGCCATAGTCTTCGAGCAGGTGCAAGACTGATGGTTCGTGGGGATCGATGTCGATTACCCCAACAAATCGATCTGAAATCATCGTCGCTCCTTGTTCCTTGTCCTCATCCCTGAGGGGGATACGTGACTGCTGGACCTTAGGAGGTGACGTCTTCATGGCGCTGAGAAAGACCTTGCAGCTCGAGAGGTCGTGATTCTTTGTCTTGTGAATAGGACAATAGACATCATGAGTTGGAGAAGTACGCTGAAGTCCATGCTCTTTGCAGGCACGAATTTCAGCGTGGACGTTGAGAAAAACCCAACAGGCTTGCAAGGTGTGTTTTCTAGTTTTGTGGATAGGACACCAGGACCTTGTCACCTCGGAAGTCATCCTCGTCGGCTCGTGATTCTTGTCGAAAAGACAATGTTTGGCTGCACTAGGATCCTTCTCGGGCTCGGATGTCGTCGACGTTCCGTTCTCCGCTTCGGCGGGAGGATCCTTCGACATGGAGTCATCCAGGGTTGTAGCCACTGCGTTCTCGCTTCTGGTCATTGAAGGACCAGCCGAGATCGGCACCGTGGTGTAAACCGGGAAGACGATTTCACCGACTTGAGTCCACACCAGCATTGTTGAAGTGAGAACTCCTTGGTTGAGGTTGGTGTTGACGCTGTTGTCGACGAAGCTAGATGACATAGTAGTAGAACCTTGAGCACCAAGTCCCCTTACCTGGCGCGCCACTGTCGATGGAGGATACCCGTAGACCGGATATAGAAGGTATTGGGGTACGCTGGTACGAGGATCTACGTAATACGACATCAAGCAGACAGAAAACAAAGATTATACTGGTTCAGGCCCCTCGATAGGTAATAGCCCTAATCCAGTTGATATGAGATTATATGGTGGAAACCACATATTTCAAAGGGAAAGCGGAACTCAATGATACCGCCGAGATCGTAATCGAGAAGGTCCGACTAGATCTCCCGGCGACTTAGCTCCTATAGGCTTCAACTCCGTAGGCTGTGGGGGATGTGTTGGCTATGAGATTCGATGCCTTAGGTCCTCCCGGGGGGTCCCTTTTATATCGCAGGTCAACTGGTCTCCAAGTAGGACTCGGAGACATTGGACCCAGCACGATACAATGACGACCCAGTCCTGTCCGAGTAGGACTCCTTCCATCTGTGAACTCCGTGGCGAATTTCCTTAACGTATGCCGAAAACGTCCGTATACACGCAAGTATACCATATATATATATCGAAGGGCAGAGGGTATACCTTTCCCGTAACCTGACAGTTTTTTTTTAAGTTCCCTGTAAAAACATTAAAGGAAGGGTGACTGTGGAAATAATTTGTGTGTTAGTGATATATTGAATTAATGGAGCTATCTTTTTTTCATGTACTCCCCTCGTTTTATAATATCATATTATAAGTCGTTTGATTTTTTTTTCTTAGTCAAACTCCTTAGAGTATAACCATTGTAAAAAATATAGTAATATTTTTAATGCAAAAGAAACATTGTATCAAAATATATTTAAAATTAAATTTAATGAAACTAATTTGGTGTCATAAATGTTGCTAATTTTTCTAGAAATTTCGTCAAACCTAAAAAAAATTTGATAAAAAAGTTAAACGACTTATAATTCATCCGAAACGGAGGAGTGAGTAAGTAAAAGTAGAGCGCAGAAAAGGCATATAGAGTTGTTTGAATGAGTTTGTCCTATATATGGCTTGGTTTAGTTCTCCAAAAGTTTTTTCTAAAAACATCACATCGAATCTTTGAACACATGCATGAAACAATAAATATAGATTAAAAGAAAATTAATTGCACAGTTAGGGAGAAATCACAAGACGAATCTTTTGAGCCTAATTAATCTATGAATTAATTAGGCTTAAAGATTCGTCTCGCAGTTTCCAGACAAGTTATGAAATTAGTTTTTTTCATTTGTGTTCAAAAATCTCTTTCGATATCCGATCAAACATATGATATGACACACAAACGTTTCCAGTCGCGAATTAAACAGGCCCTTGCCGTATGCATATGTAACTTGTACGTACGACAAGAAAGAAATACGGGCGCGAAAAGCAGCCTGAGCAATAAGTAGGCAACAGGGACAGTGTTGTGACCAAGCAGCACACACTTTTGAGAGTATAAAAGAGCAAATTATTAGGTGCTGCATGTCGCTTGTACCTCGCCATCATTGCACCATATAACTTGCCAGCCATCTCGGAAGCAAACTCATGCCCATCTTTGCATGCATGCATGCACGCTCCCCATGTAGTATCAAGTTTCATGTTTTTGCACTTGGAGAGAGCTAGTACAACTAGGGAGGAACAAAAAGGATTACTACATGATCTAATTAATTAATTAATTAAACAGAAGCAAACTCCAAACCAGACCGCTCAAAAGCTTAAACATAGTTTGGGAGAAAGAAAAGAAGGAAAAAACTAAGAGGTGACAAGAACAAACACTTGATCATGATCATGCTTCCATGTTTGCTAGCTTGGTGTGGTCGCTAGCTAAGCTAGCTTAGGCTACTCCAAGAACGTCTCCATTAGGTCCGAGTAGACGCCGCCCTCGTGTGGGCCCCTGTACTCCATCCCTTGCTGCTGCTGCGGCGGCGCCGGCGCCGTCGACGCCGACACCGACGGGGACGTCGACGTGGTGGACGAGCTCATCCTCGCCGGCAACGTGAAGCTCCTCTTGAACTTGGTGCTCTGGGCGCTCTCCATCCTCCTCGCCTTGTTGGAGTGGCTCTCCAGGCTCAGGTACTCCTCCACGTTCTCCGCGCCGCCGTGCCCCGCGTCCTGCGCCGCCGCCGCCGTCTTGCTCCCGTCGTCCGCGCCGCCGCCTCCGCCGCCGCCGAAGAGGAACTTCGCGTCCTCGGTCCGGCCGGTGAGCGCGGTGAAGAACGACAGCCCGTTGGGCCATTTCAGGTCGCCCTCGGGCGCCTCCCCGCCGTGCTGCTGCGGCGCCGCCATCGGCTGCTGCTGGTGGTGGTGGTGCTCGTCCATGTGCTGCGGCTGCTTGGCCGCCGCCGCCGGCGGGAGATGGAACAGGTGGCTCTCATCCTTGCCGCCGCCGGGGAAGGGCGGCATTGGCCGGGACGACGGGTGGAACGCGGCCGGCCCGGGCGGGAAGAGCGGCGACGCGCCGGGCGGGAGCTGCGGCGGCGCGTGGCCCGGCCAGTTGAAGAGCTGCGGCGGCGGCGGCTGCTGCTGCTTAAGCGGGAACGACGACGGCGACGGCGAGGTCCCCCGCGAGGAGGAGAAGAGCTGGGAGAGGAAGAAGCCCGACTGGTAGCCGAGCGACTCGAACATGTGCCGCATCCGCAGCACGAAGTGCAGGTCCTCCGGTATCTGCACAGTTAGCGTACGTACGTTTTGCCCAATTAGCTAGTGCCCCCCACAAACACGTCCACGTCGGCGTCTTTGACCAACGCGACAAAAACAAGTCAAGAAAGGGCCATGTCTCACTGTACCTCTCGGTACTAAATGCATATGACACATTTTATTCGGTCTGTTGCGTGGAGTAACTTTAACCGTTATTTTCGTATCAAAAAATATATATATATAACAATTGCCCCTATAAAGATACTCCCTCTGTTCCAAAATATAATGTATAACCACTCTTAATCCAAAGACCAAGAAACAATTATTATCATCTCCTAGTTTAGATCACCCTAATAAATATAATACATGCATCCAATAGAATTAGAGATCTCGAGAGTGGAGAATTTAAAAAAATAATAGTTTAATGGAGAAGAGAAATTAATTGTATGCATGCCTTATATTATGTAACATCTAAAAAAAGTAGTTGTGCCTTATATTATATTATGGAACGGAGGGAGTAATATCCAATAAAATTGTAATGTTGCACAGCCATTTATAATGTAAAATCTACCTATGTAGTACACCATCCGTCTTAAAAAAAACCAAGGTCATACTAAGATATAACGCATCCCAGATTCGATTCGTTGTAATAGGATGCATCACATTATAGTATGATGTTAGTTTATTTTAGAACGGATGGAGTATAATTTACGTTTTTTAACTGAACATTCAGAGAACTATTGATGATGGAAGTTTAAAAGATATAATAGAATAAAATTAACAATGTTATATATTAAAAAAATAGAGGGAGCAATATATAGCTGTACTCACGATCTTGCAAGAGCCAAGCTGAAGAAGGCCATGGCCAGCTTGGATCACTGCTATGGTCTACAAGCAAATTAAGCAAAAGTTTAGCATCACTAATAAATATCAATCACAAACTAAGACGAGCATGTAAAAGATCTAGGTGAACAGAAGTGCATGCCTGGATGCCAGAGGCGAACTGATCAGTCCATTCGGGAGGAAGCTGCAAAAGCAAAAGCATGAGAGGGGAATTTGGTTAAGTTCTCACAGGAATAAAGCTTAGCCGTGACTGTGATCGGCGGCGTTAATTCTATACTAGCTTGGTGATATCCTGATGAGAGAGTGAGAGAGAGCATCCAATTCCTCTCTTCTTTTTGGGGGAGCAGAGCAGACGAGCAGATTTGATGCAAAGCCTGAGAACTCCCCAGAGACATGTCGATATATCTCTCTCGGGCTCTTTTACTGTTTACCTGTTTTTTCCTCTTTTTTTTGCCTCATTCCCGCAGTAAAAACATGAGACCTACCACTGTTGCTGTGGCAGTGTGCTGAGCTTGTTTTTGCAAGTGATTAATGAGGTGTGTAGTAGTAGCAGTAATAAGGTCTCTTCCCCCCAAAAGCAAGGGGGCCAGGGGGCTCTGCAGAAAGAGAAAGGAGGAGAGTGCAGGAGATGGTACATACGGCATCAAAAGAGCTCTGCCAGTAGTTGGCGATGTTGGGCTCGCATTCAGAAGGTTCCTTGAAGACCCATTTGTGACATTTATCAGACGCCACCTTTCCCATCAGCCTGCAGCAGCACCCACCAGCGGTCCAGATCAAAATCATCGTCTTACCAACATCACGCTCAAAAGCTCGGTAGTAGTAGTAGAACAAAGTGAAAGCGACCAGATTAACGCAATTACCAGTAGTAATTACCCAAATTAATCCCCAATACAGTAGCCAAACAGAGATATTACTATATTACTGTGCTAAAGTCATCGACACGCTCACATAGACGTACAGATGGACGCAGAATCACAAGAAAAGGTACAGAAAAAAAAATTCTATCATTTCCATCTGCTTGAAACATTTTTTTTACAATTCTGCTGCTCCTGCTGCTGTGTAGAGTTTTGTTGTGCGCGTAGCAGAGGGGCGTTGTTAATCCGCAGACAAAGCCCGCAATTAAGCCACTGACGCGCCGGGATTTGTTTATGCGATACGAGGCACCGCCCCCACGCACCCCAACGAACGTGCGCACGTGACAGCCCTCGCCTAAAGCCACTGACTTAGGAGGGGGTAAGTGGCTGTTAATTTGTAGTTTACCCACGCCTCTGCCCACGCATAATGACCCCCGCTGCACCACGCGTGATGTGATGCCCCGGCGTCGTCAAAACCAAACCAAATCCGAAAATCAACCAAACCCTAGGTTAACTAATTCAAACCACACACACTGATTTAAACCCAAAAGCAAAGCAGGCGAGCAAGGAACGGTAGATAAATATTGGAACAAATTTAAAGCGAAAAAGATGAAAAAAAAGCACACGCCCATCCCATCGATCTCCTCCCCTTTCCTCCTCTCTCTGGTGACTGGTCGTACTAGTGTAGTACTACTGGTTGGGCCAAAATAGAGTTGCACTTTCACACACTAAGAGCGAGGATAACAGTAGTCTATAAGCAAGTTATATGCTTATGTGGAAGAGAGAGATAAATAAAAGTGGGGAGTGTTGGTTCTCATGCAAGGGCTAACTGTATACAAACTCTAAAAAATATGCATTAAATTCATAGTGAGAGAAAGAGAGAGGACGAAGAAAATAAAGATAACCTTATACTCAACCTACTATACATGTTAGCTTTAATATTGACTAATAGAAAGTAGTGAACTCTACTATTAAACTTGCTCTAAGACGGCGACGACGACGACGCAGGAATCATGGGGAAACTATTAGCATTAATCGCGCATGCAGGGGTCCTAATCCAAGAACAGGGCGGGTGACACGGTCGAGCGAAGAAATCCGCAGCTGCGATGCGATAGAGAGGCTGACATGACTACCAAATCGAGTCGTCGACTGACTCCACGAGAACCAAGGGGGCAAAAAACACTCGAAACTGTACACGATTACGCACTGCATCACCTACCCAGCACCCACCCTTCTCCGTAGTTGTAGAGCTGGATGGACATCTTGCTGAAGGCCTTGCGGACGGGGTCCTCGCCGTCGATGTCCTCCAGGCACTCCGCCACCCGCGGCCGGCAGAACCCGTCCTCCCACATCAGCATCCTGCATACATATATGATATATCCCCAGATTGATAACTACACACACGATCGATCGATTGGTTGGGGGTGCGTGCGTATATATGCTCAATTGCTCACTTACAGGCTGCCGTTGTCGTCGCCGACCTTGCACCCGTTGCCGCCGCGGCACCGCCTTCGACGACATATATATAGGGAGAAGAGATGAGATGAGAGTTTGAGGCAAAAATTCATAGGAGGGGTGGTAATTAATTAAGTGGTACACATACGGGCGAGGACGGATGGTCCAGAAGACGGAGTAAGTCCAGTCGGAGTTGAGGCAGACGTTGCGGAGGGCCTCGTGGAGAGCCATCATCCCGGCGGCCTCTTTGCTGCGCGCGTGATCCCCTCCTCCTCCTCCACCTCCCCCTCCCCCTGCCGCCCCGGAGCCCACCATTTCTTTCACTTCTTTCCACCTCCTCTTCTTCTTCTCTCACTCTCTCTTTCACTGCTCCGGCGCTAGCTAGGTAGCTAAGCTAGAGCTAAGATAGATGGTAAAAACTCCGTGGTTTTGGCTGCTCTTTGAGGCTACGGCCTTGCTGGTCGGTCTCTTTTTGATCGTTTCTTGGGGTTTTCTCGGGGGAGGGTGAGGTAGAGTGAGGGTGAAGAGGGACTACTAGTAGGAGTAGAGCTTAGCTTAGCTGAGCTGAGCTTTGGCTGTGTCTCTCTCTTCACTCTCTCACCTCCTGCTGCTGCTGCTTGGCCTGTCTCTCTCGAATTGCTGTTTTTAACTTGGGCAGTGGGGAGGGTAAACCGAAAGGCGACGGCTAGCGGCGGAGGGAGACTGGACGTGGTAGTGTTTGACTACACATATTTTTACATATTTTTATATATTTATTTATTTATGGGTTGTATATATGATGAGGTGAGCCGGTGATAAAGCTCGCTGCGGAGGTATGCATGGTTGATTTGGTTATAGAGGGACTTTATTAATGCTCCATCTTTCCTAAATTGATCGTTATAAAATTTAAAATTATTTAAATTGATCATCATATAACCACATGGACACGGATTTCATCAGAATACAATTAATGCAGCATGAGAGAATATATGCATTCTAAGGTGTAATTGATATGGTGTTTTAATCGATGCATGTATTGTGGAAAAATGTGTGCATGATATTTAGATTGATGTGATTTAAATTATCTTTGTCTTGGTGCAGAGTATGATGATTAATTTGGAAAGAAGAGAGTAATACCGAAACAATAGGTCAATAGACTTATTTGGTTTAGTACTTATCTCTTATCAATATTTTAATAGAATGACATTGCAAATGAGTGTGTCCAATTGATGCTAATTGAGAGTCAAATTCTATACTATGATTTTAGTCTTAAACATTATCACTAATTCTATCTCACATTATGACCATGTTTATATTTTAATAGAATGACTTTTTTAGTATTTAATGCCTTATGACAGTTGCTAACATTGTATATGGCTACTCGTAAGATCTTATGGCTCTTTCTTATAGCACATTGTAGATGTCTTATAATTTATTATCAACCATTTGGTTTCAAACCAAATCATGATATTTACTTTTAAAATTACAAAAATAAAATAATTGGGCGTGTTTTCGTATCAATCCTCTATACATGCCAATGTGCAATTCGTACAAGTACGTGAGGATTGTGGCTAAATGAAAAGTTTGCTGTGATATACTCCATCCGTTTAAACATATTTGATGTTTTAAGATAAAATTCAGATTTTTTTTTAAATTCTGACCATCAATAACTTCTTAAATGCTTAGTTTGCAAACAAAACAAATGATATGTATAGATTTGTGCCAAAAAGCACTATCATAATTATGTAAACTTATTTCAGAATTTGCAGTGTGAAATTTGAGATTATAAATGTAAACTTATTTCAGAATTTGCAGTGTGAAATTTGACATTATAAATGTAAGTTTTCTAATTTACATCGTAAGACAAAACTGAAATGTTTTGTGATAAAAATGTGATGTCATAATTATAACTAGTCTCGCACATGTACTTATTTGTTGCCTTTAGTTTACCCTCGTGCCTAGCTAGGGATGGGCCGGGCTTGGCTTATGAATGCATACAAAATTGGAATAAGTTCATTTGAGGTCCCTTAATTTGACAACGAATCCGATTTTCGTCGAACCGGAAAACCAGATAAAACGGGTCTCTCAACTATTAAAACATGTGTAATATAAGTCCCAAGGCAGTATGCGACTGGTTTTGTCCTCCGTGGCAATTTCAACAGCGCTGAGTTAGCGTGGGCCGGCGGGAGAAGCTAGCTTTGTAGAGGAAGGACGCCATCGGTTGCCGTCGACGACGGTGGTGGCAAGGCGGACAAGGAAGGCGAGACCCGGGAGCACGGTGTCGTCTTCCCCTCACTGCACCCCTCCTCCCCTATTCTTCCCCAGACCTGCATGGGAGCCAGCCTCACCACCCACCGGAGGCAGCGTCCCATCCCTATTTCACTCGGGAGCCGCTAGAGCGCCGCCGCTTGTCCTCCTCCCTCCACGACCCCACGTGAACGATGCTTCCGCCGCCCACATCTCTGCCTCCTCCCACATCGTCGCAATAGTAGGTGGTGGTGGTGGTTGCCGCAGAGATGACTCTACGGTGGTGTGCCATCGTCAGAGCTAGGACGATGAACCCAAGAGCTGGTCGGCGGTGGTGGCACGAATCAGTGGCGTAGAGTAGCCAGTGGAGAAATAAATCAGGGCGGCGGATATCGAAGTCGATGGGCGGAGGCCCCCTCCGCTCGCTGGCCATTAGCCATGGCTCGAGCCCCGCCCTTCCCCCCCCTTACTCCTCGTCTCCTCCTTGCTCACAGTTGCCGCTGCGGCGGCTGCATTCGTCAGCCTCGAGTCCTTCTAGGCGACGGCAGCCGCCCGCCACCCCTCCGCCGGCAACCTTCAGCGCCCTCCCTGCCCCTGGTCTTCTACTAGCTCACGGCCTCTTCACCATCTTCGTCATCCCCCTCATCTGATTCCCCTCCCTGATCTTCAATTGGTTCTTCATCGATTGCGGCGCCCCCTTCATCCTTATTGCGTACCCGCATATCCTCCTCTGACGCCATGCCACCGAATAGATTCGTCGGATGGCCTGCCCCAAACACCAGCCGGCGAGATGTATGGTTCTACGAACCACGTCGTCACCACATCAACTTCACTGCGTCTGTAGATTGAACATCAAGCACCCTACTAGCAAACACTAGGTAGAGATTTAAAGGAGCCACTATCGTCGTCGAACAGGACTCCTCCTTCCACCCAGTCCGATCCGTATCACGAAGATGGAAAATGAGGCCAACTCCCGATCCCCTGGTGGCACTTAGGGTTTCCACGGAGCGAGACAACTTTTCAGCTATATTTGATGGACTAAAGCACATCTTTAAAAAAAAATATTATCTCCATGCTAAAATAACTTTGTTTTTAGCCAATATTATGTACCGACACAGGATCTAAAAGACTATAATATCTTTCATTTTATCAAGTCGCAATGTGTTTGTCCTCAACTTTATCAAGTATAAATCCATTTGTTGTTACTTATTAAATTATATTATAATGATTGCTTAAAAATTAATTTTTTCGTCAGACAAATAGATAGGACAAAGATAAAACTATTTTGGAACAATGAAGGGATTATTTTCTCACACGAAAACTTTAGTCAGCCATCACCACGGTCCTGACGGCGCCCATTGTTTTTTTCTGCGTTGGCGGCCCAGTAGTTGGCAGCATAGCAAAGGTAAAAGCGGCGTGGTCGGGTCCCTCGTATTGTTGTACTCTACCGGGACCCCATACCGTACGTTCTACTCTATGTCTAGTTTTATTTCATACCTCACCCATACAGCCATACTGTTCCATTCCATGGACATATAACAGTACATTTGTTCTGCAGACTCGTTTCTTCGACAACATAGCATATCTGACGCCACCTTTAAAGACAGAAGTCACAGAAACTATACCAGGCATCGTCCTGAATGAACAGCGCGCTCCACTTTTGGCTTTACTCATGCTAAGTACAACGACCTATATATGTGATTGCTATCTAGTATGAAAAGCAAAATTTGTTTTACTCCAAAAACGAAATACAGTCCATCTAGTAGATATTTTATACTCCCCTACAATCATAAATGGTTAAAATATCTCTTTAAGGTCGTCAGTGGTTTTATTACGTACTTTGACATTTAAATAACTTTGTTTTTAATGACATGGCAACTTAATTTGCTTTTTTTCATCTCAGAAGAAAACCGGATGCTTCTGTTAGCTAATCCGGATAGTCCGGTTTTAGAAAGTTCAAAAGTAAAGTTTGTGTTCTTCACGATTTTATTATGGATTCAACTTGTATAAATGGTAAGACCTATCAACCCTATAAATATAAAGGGTCATATGGCCGATTGACATATCCAATCCAATCGACAAAATCAATCTATTACTTTTTACTTCTATCTCTTTGCACTTTACCCTTCCAAACCCTTATTTCTATCCTACCTTCGTCTCTACAGCGATTGAAGGCGCTCTAGGTGGTCTGCGGACCCTAGAGCAACCCTTGGTGGACCTGCTCCAATGGGGTCGGTGTTTGTAGGCCTAGTAGAAAATAAACAGACCAGTGGGTGACCCGACCGACCACTTGGTTCACTAGTTCACTAGTTTGACCGGTGGGCTAGGCGATCGAACCGATGTTCACATCGTGCATGTATTCCCTTCTATTTGTTGGATAGCCTGATGGCTAGGACTTGGAGCCTCCAACAAACCAGGGTTCGATTCCCACATATTGCAACTTTCCTTGATCAGTTCATCCAGTCCAGAACAGTTTGAATACATGTCTGGTCTTTGGAGGAAACCAAGCCGTGCTGACATCTGGTTCCGGCCTTTTTTTGGTCGAATTGCCGGTCCGATCAGGCTTTTTTTCTATTATGTATGTAGGTTTTCACAGTGAGTTTGTGAATACAGGATACTCCTGTTTCTAGAACTAGATATTTAGCCGATATTTGCACCAACAAAAATTTTGGCGACTCTGCTAGGGATGAAAAGCAAGCCATCGACTACAATGAACAGTGAGGATGATCTTTCCAATGTCGACGCTAAGAACGTCGGCTTACTCTAGCAACTTCCCGAGGAGGTTTGTCAACTGTTGGAGGAACGCAAGAATGCCATGACGAGGAAGTTATGCTGGCGGTGAGGGCAAGCTACAAAGTAGATTGACATGGTGTCTCGAGGATATCGCGTTTCCCTCCCCTACGGATGCCAAAACTGAGGTAAAAGCTAATGTGACTCATCTTCTACCATTACCCTTATCGAGTGACGAAACATGCTTGCTGAGAAAACAAGAATCCATAATTTCCTTGGCGGTAAAAAACCAACAAGTATTGCATGAAAATTGCAAAGGTTCATTATTCCGTCGGCTGACCGCCAAGTAAAAACTGTCAAGTCTAGAAAGTTAGGGATATTCAGATTTGTTGGCTGGTAACCGTAAGGGAATATCTTTTTGGTGGTTGGACCGCTAAGCAAATTAAGAAGATTGCGAGCTTTTGAAAGCGTCAAGAAATATAACCTTGTCGGTCTGGACTAACAAGGATATATATTTCCTTTGCTGCCGAGAAACCGCCAAGAAAATTATTTATTCTTGACAGTTGAACCGCCAAGGAAATTACTTATTCTTGATAGTTAGTACCGCCAAAAAAAGATTATCCT